AGTTTGACCACGTGGTAGTAGCCATAGAAGAGTCGAAAGACTTGTCAGCATTAACAAAGGAAGAGCTTCAAGGGATGCTTGAGCCTCATGAACAAAGGATAACTGAAAGAGTTGCATGAAATTCGAATAGTGATATGGCTTTGCAGGCACAGTCAGAAAAAGAAAAGAAAGGCAAAGGAAGTTGGAATGGCAACAAAGGTAGAGGAGGCTACAAAAATTCGACTGGTAGAAATCAGCAGGAAGGCAACTGGTCGAATTAGAGAAAAACCTGGAACCAAGACAACCCAAGAGGTGGTGTTGCAGGTAGAGGAAAAAGTGGTGGTTGAAAGCTTGACAAAAGCCACATTCAGTGTTTTAATTGTCAAAAGTATGGTCACATTTTAGTGATTGTCCAGAAAAGAAGAAGAATCAATAAATTGATGCAAAGCTGGCAAAATATGAAGAAGAAGGGACGTTGCTGATGGTTACAACAAGAGATGAAGAAAGATTTCAAGATTAGTGGTACTTGGACTCAGGATGCTCATCACACATGACTGATAAGAAAGATTGGTTTGTCAATATGAAGCCCTCAATGAAGAATATGGTGAAATTTGCAAATGACAATACCCTAGCAGCTGAAGGTATTTGTGGTGTTCTGATTACGAGGAAAGATGGCAAGAAGTCAACAATTTCCAATGTGTTGTACATACCAGACATGAAGAGTAATTTGCTCAGTATATGACAGATGGTCGAAAAGAACTATAAGGTGTCGATCGAAGACAAGATGATAAAAGTTCTCGACTCAGGTGGTAGGTTAATCTTGAAGGCTCCAATGTTTCAGAATAGGACCTTAAAGATTGAACTTAATATGATGGAGCATAAGTGCCTTGCAACTACAACCAGCAGAGATGAATGGTTATGGCATTATCGACTTGGCCATCTCAACTTCAAAGACATCAGAGACTTGAAGAGAAGAAATATGGTTTCAGGATTACCAAAAATTAACATTCCAAGCTAAGTGTGTGAAGAATGTGGGCTTCAGCAAGGATCCAGGAAGCAAGTCGAAGGCAATTCTCGAAGTCATATACTCTGATGTATGTGGTTCTATCCAGGTGGATTCGATTGGAGGTAAAAGATACTTTGTCACGTTCATAGATGGTTTCAGTCAAAAATTGTAGACTTACCTGATCAAGAAGAAAAGTGAAGTGATTAAGGTATTTGCCAAATTTAAATATATGGTCGAAAGACAGAGTGGTCAAAAGATAAAGATTCTGAGGACTGATGGTCGTGTAGAGTATGTTTCGAAATATTTTGATACATTATGTGTGAAAGAAGGGATTGTGCATCAGGTGGTGTCACCCTACACTCCATAGCAGAATGGAACTACAAAAAGGAAGAATAGAACCATCATGAATATGGTGAGAAGCATGTTGAAAGGCAAGAATCTACCTAAAGAATTATGGGGAGAAGTTGTGTCGACTGCAACATATATTTTGAATAGATGTCCGATTAAAAAACTAGAAGGAATCACGCCAGAAGAATGTTGGTCTGGTGTCAAGCCTAGCCTAAGTCATTTGAAAGTGTTTGGATCTATAACACATAGACATGTGCCAGATCAGTTGAGAAGAAAGCTTGATGATAAGTTAAGTCAAATGATCCTAATAGGATATCATTCGACTGGAGGATACAAGTTGTTCGACCCAGTGAACAAGCAAGTTGTGATCAGCAGGGACGTGATCATAGATGAGCTTAAGGAATGGGATTGGACTGAAAATATTAAGAAGGATTCAGTGAGAATCTTATATGAAGAACCAACTAGTGAAGTCGAAAGAGATGTTCGACAAGAAGAAGTTAGAGGTGAAGTAGGCCCAAGACGACCTCGACGAATAAGACACATGCGTGCAAGGTTGCAAGAATGTGTGATCACATCAGATGATGTGGTCAATGAAGAAGATGAGCTGGTAAACTATGCTTTCTATGGAGATGTCGAACCAGTCAATGCAGCTGAGGCATTGAAATATTTGAAGTGTGTGAAAGCAATGAATGAGGAGTTAGAGTCCATCGAAGTCAACAATAGTTAGTCACTTGTCGAATTGCCTTAAGGCAAGAAGGCAATTGATGTGAAATGGGTTGACAAGGTGAAGGTGAATCCTAAAGAAGAAGTAACTCAACACAAGGTGAGACTTGTGGCTAAAGGATTTCTACAAAAGGAAGGAATCTACTTCGACGAAGTTTTTGCACCTGTTGCTAGGATCGAAACAATCGGGTTGGTTGTTGGTCTAGTAAACATGAAAAATTGGCACACATGTCAGATGGATGTGAAATGTGTATTTCTGAATGGCCCCTTAGACGAAGAAGTTTATGTTGCACAACCAGCTGAATTTGTGAAACAAGGCGAAGAAAGAAAGGTGTGCAAGCTGCATAAAGCCCTGTATGGACTTAAGCAAGCTCCAAGAGCTTGGAATAAGAAGATCAACAACTTTCTAAGGGAGAAGAAATTTGTGAAGTGCACAACTGAGCATGGAGTATACGTAAGGAGAAGCAATAGTGAATTGCTTATACTATGTCTCTATGTCAATGATCTGTTGATAACAGGAAGTTGGAAGAAGGAGATCGAAGATTTCAAACATGACCTAAGTGAGGAGTTTGAAATGTCAGACTTGAGAAATCTCTCATATTTCCTTGGCATTGAATTCTACAAGAGTAGTAGAGGTTTGATGATGCACCAAATAAGATATGCAGGCGAAATACTCAAGAGATTTGAGATGCAAGATTGCAACCCAACTTCAACTTCAGCTGAGACCAAATTGCAAATGTTGAAGGATTCAGATGAAGATGATGTCGACCCAATCCAATATAGAAGACCTATGGGTCACATCGATACCTTTGTCACACAAGGCTTGACTTAGCATACAATGTGGGTATGGTAAGTAGATTCATGCAGAAGCCAAAGGTATCACACCTAGCAACGAAGAAGAGGATAATGAGGTATCTAAAAGGAAATCTCGACTATGAAATTTTGTTTCCTGCAGCTGATGAAGGAAAAATATGCAAGATAGTGGGCTACACTGATTCAAGTTGGTGTAGTGATGTTGAGGATAGAAAACCCACAACTGGCAATGTGTTTATGTTAGGTGGTGCACCAGTTGCTTGGAGTTCGAGAATGGAGCCGGTAGTGGCATTGTCGTCATGCGAAGCAGAATACGTAACTGCTTCACTTTGTGCATGTCAAGCAACATGGATGGTGAACCTGGTCGAAGAGATTACAGAGAAGAATCATTGAGTAGTTACCATGAAGATCGGAAGCATGTCAGCTATCAATCTGGCGAAGAATCCAATAGCACATGGTCGAAGCAAGCATATTGAAATGAGGTTCCATTATCTTCGAGAGCAGGTAACAGAAGGGAAGATGAACTTGGAACACTGCAGAACTGAGAATCATATTGCAGATATCATGACGAAGGGGGTGCAAGTCGAAGTGTTCAAGAAGCTAAGGTCTGTGATGAATGTAGATAACTTAGACACAATGAATTAGGTGGTATGTTGAGATTGTAATTCCTTGTGTCGAAGCAGTGTAGCTCGACAGAAACAAGGACTAGTCGAATAAACCTAATGTGTGTATCAAATTGTATTAGTGTGTCGAAGTGTCGAAGCAGGTTATTTCACACAGGATTTCGACTTAGGCTTATTTTAGTAATTTTAGCTATTTTGGGCTTTTATAGTTTTTGGCTTTGCCTTGAGGTGCAAGCTAACCTAAATCTATAAATAGGGAGAAACCCTTATTTTGTAAATAACTCATAACATAATTCACAGTTTGCAGTTGCAAGTGAATAGAAAGAAGTTTCCACAGTTTGTGGGTAGAGAGATCTCTGCAAAAAATTGTTCATTTTTCTTCTCCAACGTTTTTTCGTTTTTTTCTTTCTTTCTCAACCTTTTTTTTCATTATCATTGTGAGTGGAAACAATCTTGATATCAAGATTGAGTAGAAATTCTCCATAGGTTGTGGGTGAATTCTAACAGATTCTACTTGTCACCTCTCACTTATATCTGACACCCTCTTAATTATGACGAAATTCTTTTTTTTTCCTTCAAAACTTTTCAAAAATTATAAACTTTATAGGTGTATACCGGAAATTTCATGATATATACTAAAAGTTTTGAAAATTTTCATTTTTTTTGTGTGAAAAATTTCAAAAATTTCAAAATTGATGGTTTATTCGAAATTTCGAAATTGATAGTATACCAAGAATTTCGAAATTTCCAGTAATAAAAAATTTTTAAAATTTTTTTTACACTACCACCAATTTCAAAATTTTCGATATAACACCAATTTCAAAATTTTCAAAATTTTTTTTCGATGATGTAAAATATTTTCACACGTAAATTATGAAAAATTAAAGGATATCAGGTTTAATTTGGGGTGGCAGGTAGGTTCCTCGTAGTAGTGCCAAGTTGATTCAGTTTGGGGTGCCAAGTTGATTCAGTTTTTTCCTTTTAGGTTCAGAAAAGACAATAAAGCTGTTATTAGTGGCCACATTTAGTACACGATATGGATAGGCCCACTGAAACTGAACAAATTGAACAACTATTAACACCTAGTTTTTTGCTACTATTGCACATTTACACCTAGGTTCTTAAAAAGTTCATTATTTGATGTATATGTATCATGTTTTGTCGTAGATTGATTCTTTAACATGTCACATTTATTACATCTTCTCAGTTCTCAACTCTTACTCCACATTATTATTAGCTATATAACATGTTTCGATCAATTAATATATTAACTCTCTTGATAGATACTCTAATAAGTGAAGAAAATGAAAGAATAAGAAGCTAGCATAAAAATAAAAGAAGCAATAGTAGCAGAAAATGGAAAGAAAATGGAAAGTGGAAGGAACAAATAAATTATACATATCCAGACCCAGACACAACCATACACCTTATGTACCTTTCAACATCTTGTCTTGATACATTTTTGAATCAAGCAAAAGTTTCTATAACCCAATTATCATCCTCTAAATTCACTCTGCTGAATTTTCATCGCCGTCGTTTCCTTCGGTTTGAATCTCCGGCAACGTATCAAGATCAGTTTGAGCCGTTGCCATATCCTCGTGTATGTTCTGAGTGTCAGAAGAATCAATTGCGTCGTGTATAACTGAGTCTAGAATTTCATTGGCATTGGAAGAGTCTGGTTTTTCATCAGTTTCACGTGTTTGAGTATTGCTCTTGAACATTTCATCCATGGTGGCGTCGGTATTCTGAGTTTCGTTTGCTTCATTAGTTTCGGTGCTACCTTTGGATTTGTCGCTTTCAGTGGTATCAGAGGTCACATTTATGTCCAGATTACCAGAAATGTTTTCAGTTTCATTTGAAGCTACGACTCCAATTGTCTTCTCTAATGCACTAGCCCCTAGAGTAGGAGATTCTCGCGGAGCAGCATCATGATTTTCAGGTTTAATGGAGACAGTTGCATCAGCATCATGATTTTCAGGTTTAATGGAGACAGTTGCATCAGCATCATGATTTTCAGGTTTACTGGAGACAGTTGCATCATTATCAGGCAGGTTTCCTTCGGAAGTTTTGTTGCCACTCTGCTCTAATCCCTCAGTTTGCTTTATATCTCCAGCAACTGTCGTATTAGCTGTCGCATTTTGAGCATTATCAGACTCAGATACAATAACTCTTTTTATTTGTTCGGATGAATTTGCCGTGTCATCACCAGCGCCTGTTGAGTTATTGCTTGCTTCAATAACCACTGCTGTCAGATTACTTCTTACATCCAAGTGGCTATCAGTCTTTGTTTCGGCTGTTTCGGTAGACAAACTGTCATTTCCAATCTCTTTACCGGAAGTCACATTAGAAGTAACTGCATCTGCCACTTCATGTTCTCTATCCGACAAATCAGAATCATTTTGAATCCTGTTATTCTCATCAGAATGAAAACTTGTTGTGTTGTCTGGTTGTTTGATATTCATTCGTTCGCTTAGATCAGCCTGTGTCAAATTAATCGATTCAGTTTCAGTGCTAGTTGCGTGAGTGTCATGAGCCACAGCACTAGACGCATCATCGCCCTTGTAATGTTCCTCCCGAGCTTCATGATTTTCATCTAAACCCCCCTTTTCCTCGTCCTCCTTGTCTTCATTCTCCGTCTCATCACTATCTTCTACTTTGTCTTTCAATTCATCCGCATCCTCATCATCTTGATCATTATCAACATCTGATTTCTCATTCTCATGATCATTTTCATCTATCTCAACATCTCCTTCATCTTCAATCTCTTCGGTTTTATTTTCACCTTCCTCCTGTTCTTCTGTTCCATGCTTATTTTCTTCTTCATCCTGTTCTTCTCTTTCTTCAGTTTCATGCTTGTTCCCTTGTTTTTCTTGTTCACCATGTTCGCGTTTATTTTCCGCATCCTCTACAACAGGTTCATCTTCCTCTTCTTGCTTTTCATTCTGATCTACTTCATCCTTAACCGGATGAAGGTCCTTTCTACCTAGTTTCACAACCGTATCCGTCTCAGTTCTGACCGATGATAGTGTTGAATCATTCTTATCAAACTCTTTCTTCTTGTCGTGATTGTGCTTAACCTGGTAGATCAACCAGAAGCACACACCAAGCAGCAGAATAACCTGCAGAACATGCTTTATCTTAACACCTTTGGATCTCTGATTCCTACTACCCGGCAACCTTTTTATCATGATTAATTTAATTACAAAAAACCCAACTCGTCTTCTCCAAATAGCAAGGTTATGCCACCTGCTTCGGATATGAAATGCAATATTAAGATTCTCAAAAATATATGATCATCAATATAAATGTGCAACTAAATTTCAAATACTTATCAACAACAACAACAACAATATCATAGGCTACACGAAATAAACGATATCATAATGTTATATCTTATTTCCAACTCACGAACACCATAATGTTATATCTTATTTCCAACTCACGAACACCATAATGTTATATCTTATTTCCAACTCACGAACACGTAGGAAATACTTATAAAGGAGTTAAAAAAAGTCCCTTGCAACGAAAATGGTCGCGACAAAACGGTATCGGAAGATGCCGATCCCAATACCGTTATCAGCCATTTTTATGATAAAGAATAAATTGTGGTTAATTCACACTGCAACAACCACAATCAGTGTTGCAATGACTATATCGACCGAAATCGTAAAAGTCTTTAAAGTCTTTGCGCGACTGCTACCGATATTTAAAACCTTAAAACATTGTATATAAAAAACACTAACAAGAGCACTAATTGACCTCAGTATAGAAATCAATCAAAAGGATTAAGAACTACAAACTCTAAATAAGAACAGGTTACTTTAAAAAGAGGAAATTTCTACAAAAATGCAGTAACAAACATACTCTTTCTCAGGTTTTGGGGCTTTTTTCCAATTTAAGAAAGCAATGTTCAACAAAACCATGTTAACAACAACACATAGAAAGGTTAAAACTTTCAAACTTAATTACCATGCAAATCAAACTAAGAATCGAAGCTAATACAAAAATCAACTGAAAAACAGTATAACAGATCAATCATAAAAACAGATCAATGATAATGATTATAACAGTATAACAAATAGAATCCTATTTTGTGGCCTCCCCAGTAAAACCCCAAATGGTTAAAAATCGTGATTATGTTACCGTAAGAATAAAGATTGAAACTTTATGAAGATTTAATGATACCCATGATTGAAAATGTAAGCAAACCCTTGTTCTAGTAACGATAAAGAGAAAAGGAAAGAAGTGAAGTTGGATTGGAAGTTACCTGAAAAAGAAAAGAAATGGAAAAGGAAAGCAGTAAAGTGGAAGAAGAAGTAGAGTTTGATGAGAATCGAGAGAGAGAGAGAGAGAGAGAGAGAGAGAGAGAGAGAGAGAGGTGTTAAAACTGAATGTTTTTCTTTTGGACTTGAACACGATCTAACAAAAACAACCTAGCTCTCTTCTTTGACATTGACCATATCAATTATATGAAACACTTATTAATTTATTTAATTCACTTTCTATAACTTCATTTACTATTTTTCGATTTTGTAATCTAGTAGCCTAGCTGCCCTAGCATTATTAAAGATATTAAATACTTCTTTTATAAGATTATATATATATATATATATATATATATATATATATATATATATATATATATATATATATATATATATATATATATATATATATATATATATATATATATATATAAGTGGAGATGCATTTAATCTAACAGTAAATTTTTTTAACTTAATTATATTTCAAAAGAAAATTGCTAACAAAAAAGAGAAGGGAAATAGGCCAAAACCATCTCAATAAGAGACAAATCTAAAAAAAATTATTCTTAACTTATTTTTTATATAATCTTGTCTAATTCTTATCAATAAGAAGTTTAAAAAGTGAAATAGATAAATGTGCAGCCTACATTAGAAAAAAAGTGCACATCTATTTTCTTCTGTGAATATGTGCATTATGAAGAAAAAAAACATGTTAAAAATGAAATTTTTTTCTTCATTTGGTCTTAGGCTGCCAAGAAACTGAGTAAGAATTAACAGAAATAAACGCATTTACAAACTGAGTAAGAATTAACAGAAGTAAACACATTTACAATAATGAGAGAGTCTGACTCGAGCCAAAGCCGAGACCACTCATACTCCTTAATAACCTCAATACACTTGAGAGCGACACGAAACTCACAGAACAGAGTACTCGTAGATTCTAAAGGGTCGTGTCAACAAATGCTAAAAGAAAGAGGATCGTGTTATCTTTGAAGATTCTTTCACTACCTGCAGAAGAAGGATTCTCAATGTAAGTCGCATCCACATTGCACTTGATCCAATTCCCATTATAAGGTGTCCACAAAACCTCTTTAATGATAGGTTCCCTTGGGGGTGGATAGAGACCTTGAAGGCCTTGATGGTGTAGAAAGCATCCAAATCACCCTTGAAGGTAAGCCTTGTATTAGCACTTGTACAAGTTGTCTTGGCCAAAATAAGGTTGCAAACAGAACTAAAATGACTAGGCTTGTCTTCAGAAGGAATGAAGAAAGTAGCTTATAATTTGGATTCCAAAAAAGGGGTGAAATCCTTCCAGGCTGTAGGCAAAGTCCATACTTGATTTTGCAAGTATTTTGACACTTTAGCATTAATGTTGATTGAGTGTTGCAGGATAACATTTAAAAAATTAATAAGGGGTTCACAACACCAATTGTCTCTCTAGAATTTGATGCTTTTGTCATCCCATATTAACCCTCAAGAGTGATTCTTGATAATGAACAGCTCAACTTTGAAGCCTTGCCAAAAAGTAGAAAGGATATTATAGTTAATAGTGTCATGATCTCTCAACACTCTAGCTCTCATTATTCAAGCCTAATCTTCATGAGAGCCCAGCATATCTCAAGCTAGCTAAAGATTCAAGACCTCATTAAGGGACAAAAGAGACATGATCCAAAGCTCTCCAATATCTTTATGATTACACAACTTTTTCCAAGAAACGGTCACTAGCTTCTTCATATTGATATCTCACCCCTAGATGAAGTTTCTAATAGCCTTTTAAATCCTGTAGAGAAGGGAGATAAGCCAAGAGTAAATGGACATGGTGCGAGTAAGCATGACATTAACCACAAACTGCACCAACATAGTTCTAACAAAAATAGAGAGGGGAGAGCCCTTTCATATTGTGTGTTTACCAACCAACTTATCAACATGTTATAGGTGGGAGACATTGGCCTTTTCTTTAAAAATGGGTTAGAAGGAAGTCTTGAGAGGCGTGAAGAAACAAGGCCTGTATACCCTTGCGGCTGAGGTTGTAAGTGGTTCAGCAAATTTTGCATCCATAAAATCGGTGTCGAAGATAGAATTATGGCACATGAGAGTGGGCCATGCCAGCGAAAGAGGCCTGGTTGAACTAGGGAAATAAAACCTGCTAGGTGGTGACAAAGTCAAGAAGTTTGAGTTTTGTGAACCTTGTGTATTTGGAAAATCCTGTAGGGTGAAGCTTAACAAAGGTAAACAAAGAACACATGAATCCCTTGATTACATTCATGCTGATCTTTGAGGGCCTGCAAGGAATCCTTCACAGTCAGGTGTAAGTTATTTTCTATCCACAGTTGATGACTATTCTAGAAAGTTATGGGTATTCATTCAGAAGACTAAGGATGAAACTTTTGAGAATTTCAAAAGTTAGAAGGTTTTGGTCGAAACTCAAACTGGCAAAAAGGTCAAGAGGTTGAGAACTGACAATGGCCTTGAATTTTGCAATGAAGCTTGCGACAACTACTGTGTCGATTCTGGGATTACAAGGCATAAGATTGTAGCAACTACTCCTCAACAAAATAGCTTAGCTGAGAGATTCAATTGAACAATCCTTAAAAGAGTATTGGATTGAAGAAGGTGTTTTGGGCGGAGGTAATTTCGACATCAGCTTATCTGATAAATAGATGTCCCTCGACTCCCTTGGGAATGAAGACATTTGAAGAAGTTTGGTCGGGTTAACCACCAGATCTCGACAAACTGAGAGTATTTGGATGTTTAGCCTATGCTCACATTAGTCAAGACAAGGTCGAACCTAGATCTCTAAGATGCATGTTCCTTGGATATCCTGAGGGAGTCAAAAGTTATAGGTTGTGTTGCCTAGAACCAGGCCACAGAAGATGTATAACAATTCGTGATGTAGTTTACAATGAAGTCGAGATGGCATTCAAGAAAATTGGTGATGCTGGTCGAAGTGCAGAAATCTGAAGAGGAGGTGGAACAGGTGGAGATTCCTGTTGAGGTGGAGCATATTGATGTTGAAGTCCATAACCCAGATGAAGTCGAAGAAGAAAAGCAAGATGCTGAAGAGACTGAGGAAATTGTCGATGACTACCTACTGGCAAGAGATAGGTCGAGAAGAGTCATCAAGCCACCTCAGAGACTTGGTTATGCAGATCTTATAGCTTTTGCCTTAATTTATGCAATTTAGGTACTTGAGGAAGAACCTAGTGACTACAAGGAAGTTATGAGGAGTCGAAATAAGACTAAATGGCGAAAAGCCATGGATGACTGTTAGAAGTATTTTTCGGTAGTGTTTTATCGTATCCACAGGGATTGATGAGAATATGTGATGCTTGTCGTTCAATGGTTTAATGATTTAAGAAAGGGGGCTTTTAAATGGTTTCTATTTTTTTAATAATAGTTTGCAAGAAATAAAACAGAATAAAATTTGGTCTTAGTTTGATAAAAAGCATGCCAAGATTAGGGTTCGCTAATCCGTCATAAACGTATCCAACTGACAAATGTATGAACATAGTTTTAACCAACATAACCGCGTATCCTCGTAAAAACGTTCATTTCTAAAGTGATTTCGTGAATGTTATTGTTTCGACCGTTAAATGATCTCTCTAAATAACACTCGAAACAATAATCATTAAGATCAATACAAAGAGAATATCAACTTTCAAACCTATGTCTAGAGTTTGTATAGTTGATAGATGAAGGAATTAGGTCAAGACTTGAAAAGTTCATGTCTAAAGTAATCCAAACCATAGATATAACAAAAGATAGAAAATAACTTCATCTATATTGATCAAAGCATTTTTCATATACAAAAGATCAAGAAGAATACATAAAATCTGAACTAGGTACCTCTAACCTTGACAAAAGAGGGGTTTAGCCACCCATTACCATGATAGCTTGAGCAACAATTTTTGGAAGAAGGT